TAATTTGCATTTAATGAGAGAGGCACGAAAAACAGCCTGTTTCTGCTTCCACTCAAAATAGGCATTTTCAAAATTATATGATCTGTGGGGTATTTTGAGCTAAAACTTCACAGACACATTCTGGGGACACCAGAGACTTATATGACATATATTGTAAAAAGGGGCATAATATGTCTCCTTTAAAAAAAAAAACATGCTGGACAACTGTTACAGCTTTGTTCACATCAATGCATAGTTTTTCTGCCAACTCCTTAAGCTGGCAACTTGCTAAAGCTGATTGGCAGTCATTTTGACAATGTGCCTAAATGGTGCTAAATGTACTGCAAATGCTGTACCAAATAAAATGTCATTATTTCAGATCTGTGAGCTCCGCACGGAGACAGCAGAGGGTCTGGCCAAGTTGATGTACTGTGGGAGAATTCTAAGCCCAAAGCTGCTGTCCCGTCTGGTTCTGCTGTGGTACAATCCTGTAACGGAGGATGACCAAAGACTACGCCATTGCCTGGGGGTATTCTTACAGCTGTATGCCCGGGCCAGCAGGTATACATGCTGGGAGATTCTCCCTTCCTTAATCGTAAATATTTAGCGTATTTTATTTAAAGGGATAGTTCATCCAAAACTAACCAAAACATAAAGCTAACCCTTTAATGTAATAAGTGTACATGAAGAGTTCAGATGCAAAAGCCTCTAAGTACGTCTGACGTTTATCTTTAAAATTAGCATTTCTTTCTGGCTACTATCTATAGGTTTCTATGTAAGTACTGGTACTTCTGAATGGGTTAAGGCAGGGATTTAGCACATTTGAAGTGAAAGTACTTGATGAACATATACTAAATGTGGAGAGCATTCACTCCGTATCGTTTATCTCATTTTTGACCAAGATGGCTTTTAGAGGCTTTTGCATTGGAACTCTTCACATGTTCATGCTGCCATTTAACATTTAAGAATATTGTAACAGCACAGACAGGTATTTATAGTTGTTACTGTAATTGCTGTACACTAGAACAAATCAAGAGTGTGTGGAGGAGAGTTTTCTACCAACCATGAGAACTCTGTTCAATGCTCCTGTGACATCGCCATTGTCTGAGGTAGACGCATCCAACGTGGCTGAACTGTTTGTTGAACTAACACGACCCAGCGCTCTTGTGCAACCGGCTGCCGTACAGGTACACTTGAATATACATGCACGCTTACAAAAATAACATTAATGGGTTGTGTTCAAATCACTATGTATTATGTAAATGATCATTTCATTTCGTAAATGAACTTTTTTTTGCAGGCTGTGTCTGTGCATGACTCTCTGGGAGTGTGTATTTGTCATGAAATCCTGAGGGACATTTCTGCTCCTGAGGTGCGTCTGTACTGTAAAACTCTCAGCTGGCTGGAGATTACAGTTTTTTACGATTGTTTACACACTAAAATAAAAATTTC